TCTCTCTCTCTCTCTCTATATATATATATATATATATATATATATATATATATATGATATCCTTTTTTTAGATACTATTTATGGTCTTTTCCCCAAACAGAGTGCCACCGATGACCAGAAGAATGGTGAAGTTCCCAATGTTGAAAATGTTGATGCCACTAATGAAAATGTAAGGCCAAAAGAATTTGGCATGTCTTGTCTCTTATTAAGCTGATTTATTAAGATAACTCTTTGTTATTTGATTGCTACAATCGCTAAAGGGTAGCTACCTTTGGTTTAAACAGATAACAGTTGCCCAATTGATGGAAGCATATGAAGTCTGTATTTCTAGTTTACGAAAATCACAAGCAGTTCGCCGTGCCTCTTCTCTGAAGAGAATCTCACCTGCAAAGTTTTCAAAAGAGGTAAGTCTTATGAAGATAGAATTTTTTTTGATGTTCTTCTGACCAAATTTTGTTGGTTCGTGTCAGTTTTTGATGAACATAAAACATGGGTTTTTGGTGGTTATTTAAGGGGCTGTTTGGATAATAGTTAATTTTATCAGGAGTGGACCATCTTATCTGAAATTAATACAACTCTTTATAATAATTTTCATCAATTTTTAGCTATTTGTGGATAAAAACAAGTGATTTGCAGCAAATAATTGTGAGTAAACTAAAAGGAGCTTTTCGAAAAGATAAACTTATTATGTAAAACTACTTATAAGTTTATCTCAGATAATTTTATTATGGATGATATTAAACAACAAATTATTGATTATCAGGATTAATTTTATTGAGATGGTGAATTATCAGTGATGATGAGTACATCCCAAGCCCTGCAGATAACTAATTTTGAGTTCTCTAGGATTTTATGTGAATTAGCGCTTGGAACTTATTTGTCAATATACATTGTCTTTGATTTTATGAAGTTTTCTTATACAGTAGCCTAAAAATATGCAGGCACGACGTAATGTACCTGAAAATGTTATCCAGCAAATATTGACATTGAACAGCCTTGATGTTGAGCTCTACAAGCACGCCCAAGCCATCTTTGCAGAGCAGCAGAAACTTCTCATTGATTCACAGAGTAAAGAGGTCAGTCCTTAGTTTTGTACTTAACGTAAAATTTGTAACCAAGCCTACCTGTAATTTTTTCTAAAATTCTTGAATATTCTTAACCATGGCCAAAATGTGGGGCACAACTTTGAGTGATGAAATAATAAGCAAAAAGCTCAAACATGAAAAAAAATAAAATAAATAATATATATATATATATATATATATATATATATGTCCAAATAATAGTTTGGGTGATCAATCATATATCTGGGTGATCAATCAAACCCAGGGTCCTTTGAGCTATTTCCACTCTTGACTGCGGTTGACTGAGTTCTTTGGATTGACTGAAGTATTTCGTTGGCCCTTTTCCCAGAGAAAAACACACTTCTGAAGTATTTGAGGAGCTCCAGAATCCACCATCAAGTGACAATCGAGTTCAGGACTCAAACAGAGCCTAAAATTTCTTCACCAAAACAATATAATCAGGCCAAAACATACAACAGATCCAATGGAATGGTTACCTGCTTTCCCTTTATTCAAAAACACACTCCCACATTTATGGACCCATTGACGCAAAAACCCAATTTGGCCACATTCAGTTATCTCGTTGAAACCCAATGGCCTTGGGCAGTCATGTCAACACACTCCAACATTTATGGACCCATTGATATATATATATATATATATATATATATAGAGAGAGAGAGAGAGAGAGAGT